CCAAAGTGCTTGGATTTAAATTTTGGATTTTCCTCCTATCAGATGTAAGACCATGTGAAAGTTACTTAAACTCTGTCCTGAATTTCTTCTCTTTAGGAAATTGCATCTACTACATAGGGTTGTTGTTAGGATTAAATGAGATAATACACATAAAGTTTGTAGGGCAATGTTTGGCATATAGCATATTCTCATTAAATGTTAGCTACTCTTTTTAGGGAATGGGCTTTTAAAAATTAGAATAAGTAATATGATCAGGAACTATTTTAGGATGAGCAAAGGGAATAATCTTTCAATTAATTGCAGAAATAATTTTTTCCACAACTCATAAATGAGCAAATTAGATCTGTGTTCAATTAATTTTTGTAGAAAAATTTTAAATTCATATACACAAACTATATCACAATCTCACCATCCTTCCAATTTTTCATATGCACATTCATATATATGTGCATATAAAAATACATTACACATATGTTATGTATTCAATAAATATATCCAAAACAGTGATGGAATTGTACTATCCTATTTTAGATAATTTTCTAGTCAGATTTCTAAATTTTAATGGCTGAATAGCATTCTGTTATATGAGTATATTTATTTCACAGAACCAACACTCTGTTATTGCACATTTAGGTTGTTTCCAAGTTTCACTCATACAATGCTTGGGTAAGCACTCTTTTAGCTAAATTGTGTACATTATTTATTTTCTTAGAGTAAATTACTGGAAGTAAATCACTGGATCAAAAAGATGCATATTTTAAAGCGTTTTCCTTTTTCTACATTTGTAAAAAGTATCCTCCTATATAATAAAGAGCTAATATGCTAATTAGACCTTCCAGAACAACCAGTGGATGGGGGGTATGGGGGGTGGAGCCACAGGGCCAACTGGCAGCTGGGACTGCTGCGAGGGCAAAGGTGGCAGCCTGGGCTGTGAGGGCTGAGGCAACTGGGGCTGCGAGGGCCAAGCCCCTTGCACAAATTTTGTGCACTGGGCCTCTAGTAAAATATAATTCTGATTACAGAAAGGGAAAATTATGGAGGTTTATAAGAAAATATTAATTTCATACTCTCTACAGCATTTCTCTCTTTTAGTAGGTAACCAATGTTAAGTTTGTTGTGCGTTTTCCACTGGATTTATTTCTTTTCTACTTTTAATGGCAGTGAGGTCAAATCCCTCAGGTTTCTTTATAACTGCTTTTATTCCACTAATTTATATCTCTTGACACGAATACCTTTCCATATCAGAACACAGATCTAATTTGCTCATTTATGAGTTGTGGAAAACTAATTCAACCACCTTGCTATTGAAGAACGTGAATATTGCTTCAAGTTGTTTGCTATTATAAATACTGCTGCAATAACATTTTGAAATCTTTTGATGGCTATTTCTAACTTGTTCTCCAGCAGTTACCATTTTTGCATTCCCACCACCGCTGGTACCCAAACCATCATTGAGCACTATTTTTGATCTTGTGCCAATCTAAAAGGCAAAAATGGTATCTTGTTGTGTTGATTTGCATTTCTTTGATTACTAATTAGATTGAACTTTCTCATATGTTCGTTGGTCCATTTGCATTTCTTCTTTTGTGAAATGCCTGTCTTGGGTCTTTTATGTACTTTCCCACCAAAGTGTTTCTTCCCTTGATTAAATAGATTATTTAACTGTCATATGTTGCACATATTTCTGCCCAGTTGGCCGCCTTTGCTTGTGATTTCTATTTATGGGTCTCTAGGACTTTATAGGCATTAAATAACTTTTATGTTAAATATTTCAGTCTCTGTATATCTGCCTAGACTGTCATGCTTAGGGCTTTACTAATTTATGGTTATACATAGTTTTATCTAATCTAGATATGTTGGTGTATATTAAGATGCAGGGCTCTGTTTTTTCTTTTCTTTTTAAAAAAGATTAACTAGTTCTAAATCACCATTTACTCAATATTTCCAATTGAACTGAGATGGCATTATTGTCCCATTAGTGACATTTAAAATGTATATGAGTGTTGTTTCATTAGACCAGTCACTTCTATAATCCAAATGTTTTCATTATTATAGCTTTATAAAGTACTAGAGGCCCAGTGCATGAAATTTGTGCATGGGGATGGGGTGGGGCGTCCCTCAGCCCAGCCTGCACCCTCTCCAGTCCGGAACCCCTCGGGGGATGTCTGACTGCTGGGTTAGGCCCGACCTTGCCCAAGCCTAACCTGGCAGTCAGATATCTTTCTCACAATCCGGATCCGCTGGCTCCTAACCACTCGCTTGCCTGCTGACCTGATTGCCCCTAACTGCCTCTGCCTTGGCCCCCACCTCCGTGGCTTTGTCCGGAAGGATGTCTGGAAGATGTCCTGTCTAATTAGCATATTATCCTTGTATTAGTATAGTTTATATCTGATCAGGCATCTACTCCTTCTCATTACTGAACTTTCAAACATTTTCTTCAGTAATGTAATATATTTATTTCATAAAATTTAGAATCATTTAATTAGGTTCCTTGCTCCTTATGTCAAAGAAAATACTAATGAGGTTGTGATTGGGATTGCATTAGAAGTAGCTATGAGAATACTGTCATGAAAAATATGTAATCTTGGAAACTTGGTATGTCCCCCTTTATTAAATTCTTTGTCTCTCTGTACATTTTAAATGCTCTCCCCTCCCACGTTAGTCCAGGATTATTTTGTTAAATTTATTCCTAAGTATAATATGCTAATTTTTATGGAATATCTTTATCTCCATTATGCCTTCTTCCTGGGTATTAATATATTTGTAAACAGCTTCCTTACTGGTGTTCTTTTAAGTTCCAGTGATTTTAAGTTGATTCTTTTTGGGTTTTACAAATATTTTATGATATCATCTACAAATAGTTACAGATAATATTATATCTGTTAGGCATGTTCTCCCTCTGTGCACCTCCTACCACCAATGGTCATCTTTTATTTCATTTTTCTTACATATGGTATTGGGCAGAATGTCCAGAATAATTGGGAATAATGAGAGAGATAATAGGTATTTTTGCCTTATTTCCAGGAATTCTTGTTTTCCTACTAAGTTTGATCTTAGCTGTTGATTTAGTATTTTTAAATCTGCAATTTATAAGGGGTTTTAAATTGGAATAGTCAGTGACTTATTTGTTATTAAAGTAAAGCACACATGGTAAAAAATTCAGACTATAATAAAGGACTTCGAATGAAAAGAATTTCTCTCTTCCATGTTTTCCCTTTTCCAATGGTTCTTTCTTCCTTCTCCGTGTCCTTCCTTCCCTCCCTTCTTTCTTTCCTTCTTTTTTTTCTATATGTCCTTCCTTCTTTCCTTGAAGCTCTTATTTGTTATATGTTTGACTACATAAAAAATTAAAATTTATCTGAGATACAAGGTCATAACTAATATAAGAGTATCCTAGAAGAAGTTATTTGTAACATATCAGACATAGATAGTATTGATTTCAAGAATATCTGAAGGGCTCCTACAGATTAGACAGGAAGCATCCAAATAGAAGTATGAAAATGCATGTGTGGAGGAAACTCTTTTAATAAATAAAAATACTCCAGTCTGAGAATATCGTTGAGCCTGCTTAAGGGCTAAGGAAGCTGAGCAAGGTCTCTTATTTCTGGGGCTGTTTCAGCCCTGTTGTCATTTCTGCATTGGTTTCTATTGATTATTTTTTCTCCTATCATGTGTCATATTTTTCTGTTTATTTACAGTCATAGTAATTTTTGATTGACAGGGAGATATTATGAATTTTACCATGTGGACTTACTGATTATTTTGGTATTCCTAAAAAATATTCTTGAGGTTTGCCTTAGAATATAGTTAAGTTACTTGGAAACAGTTCTTCCTTTTGAGACCTGCTTTTCAGATTTGTTGGGTGGAATGAATGCAGGCATTAGTCAGCTCGCTGATGAGACAGAACTCTTGGAAGTGCTCTCCCTAATGTCCGCGAATTTCAGTATTTCTTCACCGGTGGGATCTCTGAGCATTGTTCCCTTTAATCCTTCGGGCAGCCCTTCCCCTGGCCTCACACATATGCTGATCCACGCTCAGCTGAAGATTCAAGGGGCACCTCTGCAGATCCACAGAGCTCTCTCTCTGTGCAGCCCGCTCCTCTCCAGTAATGTGCCCAGTGAACTGTGGTCGTCTTGGCTTTCCTAGACTCCGAACTTCTCAGCCCAGGAGAGATTCAACAAGCTCTCCCATGGGTGCCCTCCCGTGGCCTAGAAACCTCGCAAGGAGGCAGCTGGGGCAATCATACGGCTCCTTTGCTGCCCTTTTCTCAGCAATCCCTGTCCTGCGCCACCTCTCGTGTGGCATCTGAAAACGGAAGCTTCAGCTATCTTGTATGTTTTTTAAGTTGTTTCAGACGGAAGGTAAAATCAGTGTCTGCAATTCCATGCTGGCCAGAGTAGAAGTTTTAGAAGTACTTTTGCAGAAGTAAAAGGATACTCCTACTTTGAGAGTCACGGGTCCTTTACTACAATAATTATTTTCTGATCTGTGGTTAAACAATAAAATTTGGAGCCTCTATAAAATGCAGCCTGATTGGGGTGACGTTCCAGTGGGACCTTCTTTCTAGATCAGCAGGGATTCGTACTTTCTAATCACGACAAGCTTTCTCTGCCTTCTTTTGTACATGTGTTACTTTACCTAGAATGCACATTTTCTTTCCTTTAAATGTGGCCTTCGGCAACCTGTCATAAACCCAGTCCTGTTAGTGCAGTCTGTTCTTTCCACTATTTTACTCTGCCCATAGTAGCAGCTCAGAGCCTCCTGTGGAAAACTCATTTTTATTGTCGAAATGCTGCTTTATGTCCTTATCCTCAGGTTTTGAATGTTCTAGGCCTTGAGTGGCAGAGACTGTCTTCAATTTTTCTGTTTTTCATTCTTGGGAAAACAGACCCAATTTTTCTTGTCTTTCCTCCCCGTCTTATATGCAGATTGACATAAAGGACAATCAGAAAGATTACTAATGAGCAAGACTTTCTGGGTTTGATTTGTACATGGGAGATATGGACACAGTGGTTTTGATTGGAAAACTTAATTTCTTTTCAGGTGATTCCAAGTATGACTTGCTATGTAAAGAAGAACTTATTGAACTCAAGGACATATTCTCTGTCAAACTGAAACGGCGTTGTTTTGCTAGTGGACATGGCACTTTATTGGGTATCACACTCTTCATCTGTTTGAAAAAGGAACAAAATAAATTAAAGGATTCTACACTCGATCTCATTAATTTAAGTGAAGACCACTGCAACATATGGTTTCGACAGTTGAAGAAAATTTTGGCAGGTCAGTACTCCTTATGGGAATTTTTAATGAGTCTAGTTTCCTTGATGTGAGTTATTAATCTAAACATGGTATTGTATTTATGAGCACAGAAACTCTTATGTTGATATAGTTTCCTTCTAATCCTAATTTGTTGAGTGTTTTATGCATGAAAGGGCATTAAATTTTGTCACATGCTTTTTCTATATAGATTGAGATCATATGATTTTTTCTTTCATTGTGTTAATGTGGTGAGTTACATTTTCATATGTTGAACCATCCTTCCAATACAGGAATAAATCCCACTTGGTCATGGTGTATTCTCTTAATATGTTATTGAATTTTCTTTGCTGGTATTTTGTTGAGGATTTTACATCATTATCCATAAGAGATATTGGTCTGTAATGGGTTTTTCTTTTTCCCCCTTGTAGTATCTTTGGCTTTGGTATCAGGATAATGCTGGCCTCATAGAATGAGTTAGGAAGTAACTCTTTTTTTAAAAAAATATTTTTATTGATTTTATAGAGAGGAAGGGAGAGGTATAGAGAGTTAGAAACATCCATGAGAGAGAAACATTCATCAGGTGCCTCCTGCATGCTCCCTACTGGGGAACTGAGCCAGCAACCAAGGTACATGCCCTTGACAGGAATCGAACCTGGGACCCTTTAGTTCACAGGTTGATGCTCTATCCACTGAGCCAAACTGGTTAGGGCAGGAAGTAACTCTTGAATGACCATTTCTATGTAGAAGCTTCGATAATCTGAAATAACAGTTCTTAAATAATTCAGTTCAGTTGAGAGTTGTTTTTGTAAGCATATTTATTTTTCTATTAATGTCTCGAGTTTATATTAGAATTTATTTTCCTTATACCTATACAATGATGGCAAGTGCATATATGTACTGTGTGACTTGAGAATAACAGCTTTTTTACAGATAATATTTAAATTGTTTATTTCAGGATAGATTTTTCTAAAGTTAAATAACCAGAGAAAATAGAACATATTTACTAGATATTAACTCCTAATGAAGTCAATGTATCTGAAAATATGTTACTTGTATTTTATGTCCTAAATAAAATGCATGAATTCAAACACAGTGCAACTTGGATTTTTAGAATGTATCTTGTTAAATAACCAAACTGAGTTTTGGGATTTTGTTCCCCTCATAGATTTGTAAGCCTTGCTTTCTTTTTAGCTCATTTCTTTCTGTTTGCCAGATTGATCAGGGTAGAGGCAGCTGGTGTGGTTGGTGGTGCAGTTTGGAGGAAGATGACACAGGACAGAGATGGGTGCCAGACAAAAGCAGGCACATGGTGATGTTAGACCGTTTCAGGCCAGGCATCATTAATTAAGACTGGGTGTGGTGCCAGGTGCGTACTAGACTTATTGGGAGGATCACTTCACAAATTATAAAAATGTCTAACCTCTATGCTATACACCTGAAACTAATATAAAATAATTTTCAATGTCAAATGTAATTGGAAAAAAAAAAAGAGTGAGGACCTAAGTTGGTCAAGGGCAGCCAACTGATAGGTTACACCTATAAAAGATAAGCTGATGTGACATAGTAAAACTAGGCGATCCTGTTACTAAGGCCCCTGTGCTTCCTTCTTAGCCCCTTTGGAACCTTCTAGGAAACCTGATCCTTTTAAGAAGATAGAAAACCACAGAAGCCTTGGTTTCATCTCCCTGAAAATAGAGAAAGAATACACACACACACACACAAACACACACACACACACACACATACACATACACACACACACATGTGGGGCAAAAGTAGGCTTACCAGTACATTTGTGACTACACAAAACACAGAGTTTATTCTTGCATTATTATTTACAATTATATTATTTTCCATTTGAACAACTGTAAATCTACGTTTGCCCCACCCTGTATCTTTAACTTAAAGCATTCCACTGTAACAGTGGTCTTTCATGGTGTTATTTTAAATTCATGTCAGAAGAGATTTTTAAAATCTAAAATAAAAATGAAACATTAATAAGATCAATTTAATAAAATTTTCTAGCATTGGCAGGTACTCACGAAACTTGCCTGGTCTATAAAATAAGAATGTGTCATTCTAGGAGAGGCACAGCTCTTGCACTGAAGGCCTGCGGATATCTTTTCTCATGGCGCTTATGAAGGGCTTAGCTGAGTGAGGTGTGAGAGGCAGCGTCCTCAATATATGTCGCCCATAAAATCAATAGCGAGTAAGCATAGGACATCACAACAAAGTTTAATTTAGTAAGAGCAATTTTATAGGAATAGAGGAGTCTGTTAAAAAAATTCAAAACAGTGTTCAATTTTTTATTTCATCTTAATGAATGATGTTTTGGCTTGGTCTAGGGCAGTGATGGCGAACCTTTTGAGCTCGGCGTGTCAGCATTTTGAAAAACCCTAACTTAACTCTGGTGCCGTGTCACATATAGAAATTTTTTGATATTTGCAACCATAGTAAAACAAAGACTTATATTTTTGATATTTATTTTATATATTTAAATGCCATTTAACAAAGAAAAATCAACCAAAAAAATGAGTTCGTGTGTCACCTCTGACACACATGTCATAGGTTCACCATCACTGGTCTAGGGTTAAAATCTAGGTGAATTACATATATTTTAGGCTCTCATCTTTTGGGAATGTTGCTTTTTGTACCTTTGATTTTGATAAGAGTTAAAGGTACTATAATATATGGGGTCATATTCTCTGGCATGGTTCTGGAGTACAGAGTGAGTTATTGATTAAAATAAAATAGATTGATCCACTTGTCTATTGATGGGCACTTGAGTTGTTTCCATATCTTGGCTATTGTAAATAATGCTGCAGTCAACATAGGGGTGCATATATTATTTTGAATTAATGTTTTGGGCTTCTTCAGCTATATTCCCAGAAGTGGAATTGCTTGGTTATAAGGCAATTCCATTTCTAATTTTTTGAGGACACTCCATACTGTTTTCTATAATGGTTGAACCAATCTTCATTCCCATTAACAGTGCACTAGAGTTCCCTTTTCTCCACATCCTCACCAGCACTTGTTGGTTGATTTATTGATGATAGCCATTATGACAGGTGTGAGGTGATATCTCATTGTGGTTTTAATTAGCATTTCTCTGATGAGTAGTGCTGTTGAACATCTTTTCATATATCTATTGGCTATGTGTATATCTTCTTTGGAGAAGTGTCTATTCAAATCCTTTGCCCAGTTTTTAATTGGATTGTTTGTTTTGGTGTTGAGTTGTAAAAGTTCTTTATAAACTTTAGATACTAACCCCTTATCAGATAGATGTATTATTGGAGAATATGTTCTCCCATTCAGTGGGGTGCCTTTTTCATTTTATTGATGCTTTCCTTCACCGTGCAAAACTTTTTAGTTTGATATAATCCCATTTATTTATTTTTCCTTTTGTTTCCCTTGCCCGAGGAGCTATATCAGAAAAAATATTGCTATGAGAATTGTCCGAGATTTTACTGCCTATATTTTCTTCTAGTATTTTTATGGTTTTGAGTCTTACTATGAAGTCTTTAATCCATGTTGAGTTTATTCTTGTGTATAATGTAAAATAGTGGCCTAGTTTCATTGTACGCATGTATCGGTCCAGTTTTCCCAACACCATTTATTGAAGAGACTGTCTTTCCCTTTTTCTTGATGTTTCTTTCACTTCCATGTAATAATCTAGGTGTTCATTCAAGTGCCTGTCATCTGAGAGATAAATAATTGGCTCAATCCACATGCCATACATGTCTTCCTCTCTGGTTCTGATTTCCATGGGGTTTGGTCTATTTGTGGATGACCTTCCTGACTCACATCCATGTCCCTGCTTTGTACCACATGCATCAAGTCTGACAGATGGTGATTGTTCCTTGGTTTCCAATTTTATATTTTTAAAGTCCTCACCCAAGGAATTTGTGTTTGAAGTGGACTTGACTTAAGTTTGAGGCCAGGGGCGGGGGTGTGGGCTATAAAAATGATGTACAATTGAATATTAGACATCACTATTTAAAATCCAAGACCTTGCTTTTAACCGGTGCTGTGGCAAGACCAGCAGATTAAAAAAACAACAACACTTTTTTGCATTTGTTTATTTGAATGTTGTCTTTAATCAGCAAATTGAATTTGTTTCCTGCCAGCCTTTTACATCTTTTCCCACTTTCCCCCTCTATTAAGAAAAACATGAAAACCTCAACTTCATCTTTTAGTTTAATTAGCCTAACAATTATAATTTTAGTATATTTGGGTATTGAGTTACTTTCAAGTATGTGCATTTATATATTGAACTGGAGCAATGAATAAGATGTGATGAATTTTTGAGGAAAGAACAAATTGGCAATACTAGAAGGGGAGAAGGGAGACAACTTTCCAATACTTTAAGTTTCAAGGCTAACTGACAAAGACTGACCAGAAGAAAGTGGGTTTATAAATATAAAAAAAAAAGGAGTTTCAGCATGGTTTCTGTTTTTCTTGGAAAATATGTTGTCCTTTTACACAGTTAAGCATAGCGTTTTTAAAAAATTCTTAGTAATAGAAAGTTACCATAACTTTATTCACTAAGAGGCAATATAGGTTAATTTATCCAACACAGGTTTTGTAGAAGGCACTGTGTTAAGTGTTGGGAGTACAGAAATGAATGAGGTATAATCCTGTATAAAACTCTTTTGTCCTTGGGGACAAATAAAGAAACTTGTTTATAAATGTAATAAAGACCACAATGAAAATATGAACAAACTTGTAAGGTTCATAAACATTGATCGTTGATTCAGAAATTCAGATCTTTAAAAAATATGATTGAGCCCAGCTGGCATGGTTCAGTGGTTGAGTATTGACCTATGAACCATGAGGTCACAGTTTGATTCTCCATCAGGGCACATGCCCCGGTTGTGGGCTCAATCCCAAGTGTGGAGTGTGCAGGAGGCAGCCGATCAATGATTCTCTTTCATCATTGATATTTCTATCTCTCTCTCCCTCTCCCTTCCTCTCTGAAATTAATAAAAAGATATATTTTTTAAAAATGTGATTGATTAAGG